CCACACCCACCCTCGTTTATTCGTTGACAAGAACTGGTAAAAAAGCCAAACGGGAGTTACTTGTAAACATGCACAAATACAAAGAGGAGAGATAAGCGTCGTGTAGATAAGAGAACTTTTACACTTAACTTCGTTATTTTTCATTGCTGCAATCAAGAATCAACGGTTTCAAAACATCGTATTAATTTTCACTGCATATTGTAAGGTAAGTTAATAGTATTCCATCAACATTATATTCTTACATCAGACAATGTCGTTATTTATATTGTTTCCAGAGATTTCCCCTATTTTCTACATTCAGAAATACTTTCTAAGTCCATGTGAAAATATGATTTGCTGGGATAAAATAGTAAATAGATTGATATCGATGAGAGTTGTGTATGGACCACTTGGATAAGAGCAGTATGCTGGTTTATAGGTTGAGAAGCCATTATTATGATGTACGGATGAAGATTACATGACCGAGGTACACATCGCGGCTGGAAAATATACTTTGACCAGAGATAAAAGCTCTTGCGCCATGATGAAATGTAAAAAAAAGTTGTTGCTATTGCGATTATATTTTCAAAACGATGTTTAGAAAGTTACTATCACCACTGTGCTAGTGTAGAACTGTCACTGTTTTTAGTAGAAACGTGCGTGACTCACTTGAGACCAATATTTTGAAGATTTGCCGTCCCAAAGAAGAAAAAGCGAATTCTGGTGGATCCTAGGAGCGGCAGGATGCATCAGGATTAGGCGAAGTTATCGTTATGTTGCCTAGTAACAGTTAGCATCATTTTGTGAGGTCGATTTTTCGTTCGGGGAAGTCTGTTGTTCGAAAATAATGATTTCTTATAAACTTTGATCAGAGATTTTCAGGATCAAGGAAATTGAATCTATGGGTGGTTTCTCAGGATTTATAGTTTTTTTGGCTAACCCTCTGTAGATTCGGATTCCTAGACTCCGGCAACCGTTGATGAAACTTTATAGGAAGTAGTTATTCTACAAAAAAAAACTTTCCTTAACGAAAAGATTAAATATCCGTTAAATCTGGCGTTTTATTGTTGGTCCTGATCTTTGACCGGGTAACAGACAAACATCGGACATTATATACAAAGAAGATGGGATCCACGTTTGCTTTCTTGATTTAGGATCATTGTAGGTAATGGTGCCCTTACTGAATCTTAATGGACTTTGGTAGATTTTGACCAATTCTGGTAAATTCAAATGAACTTCGATAGAGATCAATGAATCAATCCTAGACTCCATGAGGATCTGAAGTTCCAAGATCCAGTTTTCCCCTTGTGTTACCTCGAATTAGGACGAAGGAGAAACGGCGGATTTTGTACTCCCAGAGTTCTCTGGATACCCACTGGATTGTCACGATTCCCGTCGAATTCTCAGAATTTTTTGGGATTCTCATCGTACTTCGAATGCCTGATCGATATATTTCCTAGATTTGTGTTTCTTTTTCGAAGATGCGTATGATATCTTCAAGTCTCCAGTAGGTGTGTGACAGCTCCAGCCCACGGAAGCTGGAGTGGGTCACCAGTCCTTTTTATATGAGCTATCTCATAGCTGCCTAGGGCTACCTAAGGGATGTGCTCACAGGTTCTCAAAGCCCATCCTATGAGGGTACTCATAAGTCATCGTAGTCCATCCAATTGGGCACCCATAAGACCTTGAGAGTTATTCTATGGAAGTGGCATAAGTCCTCTCGGGCTATCCTACGAGGATACCCATAAATCCTGAAGCACTTCCTGTGGGGCTACCTATAAAGCTTCTAGCTCGATTCATGAGCAGTATCCATAAGCCCCCAAGGACTATCGTGTTTTGGCATCGTTAACTTTTCAAGCGTTGTCTTGCGGTAGTTTTGGATACCCTTGAAGGGTTATCCCATGGACGAGTGTCGGGTAGCGCTAACTATTCACGAGATAGATATCGAGCGTTAGTCGTCATACGTTTTCAAGGACTTTTAAACACAGAGCGCAAAACTGTGATAAGGACGCCATTCGTACGTCATCCATTAACTGGAGTTGAATGTGATACGAAATACTGGTTTAAGGATAACGTAAATAGTCGTGTACTTGAATTTTTCTTTAAAAAATACAGTGGACTGCTTTTCTCAGCTCAACATAATTGAGCCACGTAATGGAGTGGTTTTACTTCACAATTAGTATTATGTCGAAAGGATTGTGCTAGACAAATTTGGGTCAACTTTGAGTTCCTCTTTAATCAAAGATCAGCTCACTATTAGGTGCATGACACCTTCAGTTCCACAGCTCTTGAGAGCTTCGTCGAAGAGTTGGTAGACAGCTTGAGTTGAGATGAATGAGAACTGGATCACCAACTGCAGCTCAGCGAACTGAACTGGAGCTGTCATACCTACTTATAGGCGCCTCTACAGAACAGCTCTTGAGGGCTTATGTATACCCTTAGATAGCCCTTAAAGACATACAGGTATCTTCATAGGATAGCCCTTCTGGACTTATGAGTCTCCTCATAGGATAGGTCATGAGGACTCAGGAGCACCTCCATAGGATATACTGTAAGCCTCGAATTCCATTGTACTCCCAAGAATCCGGAATCTTGTGAATCCGCCTTTTTCCCCTTGCGTTCAACTGTAAGAAAGACGAAAAAGAGGAATGCGACGTCTCACCCACTACATAAAACCCTAGTCGCTTTATCTACTCAACAACTTATTATTCAAGGTGTTTTAAAAACTAAAACAGAAAAAAACAATCTTGCAATGCTTTTTCAATAAATATTCGGAATAAATTATTACGTTCGCTATACTCCTATGTACTATCAAGTACTCTCCGTACTCTTGAAGTACTGGGAGTACAGGAGCGCCTCATTTTTCCCTTGGGTATTATACATACACATCAGTTATAAAGGCGTTTCGGGTTTATGAAATCCATTCGAACCGAACTGATGATATTAGAAACCAAATCGGAACGAACGGAAAAGAAATTTTTTCATGTTCCATTATAGATAAGGAAAGTTATGTGATTTTCATTGTAGTTCATTCGTCTTATTTCTGAGAATTGTTATTCAAACCGCTATTGGTATGATATAAGACTATATGAGAAGGCTTCTCTATATTTAGAGGCCTTGAAGCAGCGTTGCCTTGGATATAATAAAAGGTTCTTTTTAGTTATTTAATTAATCAAACATTTTATCTTCACTGAATATACTTAATCGGAAGTATAACTAGTTGTCAGAATCCGAAGCTGAAAATCAGTGAAGACTGAAGCTAATATAATCCTAACCCTTTTTAACTGTGGAAACTTTTCTGATCTTAAAGTATCGTGATATGTTGGAAAACCCTTTAATTATTAGCAATTAAATAAAAAAATCTAATGAAAGATATTTTAGAACATTTATCTGTCTGAGCATCACAGAACATCTGGTGATCTTCTATTACAGGGAAAGGCATGATTATGATATATACATATATAGATTCATGTTTTGTTTAATTATTATGTATTTTAATTTTGTACCTGTCAGTAAGAGTAACGCCTCTCTTGCATTATACTTGATTTAATTGATCATCACGTAAATGGTTTTTCTATACTAAAGAATATACTTGATTTGTTAATGACAAGGGAGAAAAATCTCATTCAGACATTACGAGCCATTCTCAGCCATTCCCATCCATTCCCGGCCATTTCCATCCATTCGCAACCATTCCCATCCATTTCCGGCCATTCTCATCCATTCGTAGTCATTCCCATCCATTGTAGTGATTCCCATCTATTCTCAGCCATTCCCACCCATTCCCATCCATTCGCAACCATTCCCATCCGTTCCCAGCGGTTCTGAGTCAACCGGATATGTCCAGTCTTCGTCCAATATCAGATCAAAGGTCAAAAGTCATTGATCTAGGATGAAACTGGGATGACACTTTAAGTTTAAAAACACTTTAACTTTAACGTTAAAGTACTTCCCAGGTCAAAAAATCTGACAGCAGATCTTGTACGATTTGGTATGAATCTTACAAAAAATCGTAGTCTCTGAAATCTTATATCCATTCTTATTGCAAGATTTCTATCAGATCCACCGTCGCATAAGATTTTCTAAAATCTTACAGTAAGATTTGGCAAGACAACAAGATCTGTCAAGAGTCTTACAGTAAGAATTGACGTAAGATTTCAGAGACTACGATTTTTTGTATGATTCATACCAAATCGTACAAGATCATATATGATCAAACGCAGAATATTGTCCGATCTTAGTGTCTGATTGTTTGCTCTGGGTTGCATCATTCGTAAGAACTAACCAATCGGGCCCTCATTTGCCTACTATAAGAAGGGTATTCGGATTCTCATTTGTCAATCTCAAGAAGGGTACTCGAGTCCTCATTTGCCAATCCTACCTAGGTCCAATTAGTGATGTAACAATACCAATACTATCAACTCCAATACCAATTGGTATCGATGGTATCGGTATTGATGGTATCGGTATTGACCGGTATCGTTATTGACTGGTATTGACCGGTATGCTATTAGTATTGGTATTGTATGAAGGTACCCTTAGGTCCTCAAGAACTATTATATACAGGTACCCTTCGGGCCTTAAGAGCTAAAGGGTGAGCCAAAAGTCTTGGTCGCTCTCAGAAAAATTGTTCGTTCCCCCTTATAGTAAGCGCCAAAATGCTCGAACTTTGATATCTTATCCTTGGTAACATGGCGAATATTATCCTAAGTTTTCAGCTCTCTATCCTTACAAATAAGGGAGATTTATAGGCTAACATTCTTGATATCTTATTTTTTGCATGTCCCAAAAACAACAATTTGCGTATAATAAATGGGCATCCTTAGCATTTCATTTCTCCACCGCTTGATACGTTCTATTAGAGAAACAAAATATATCACAAGATGCAGCGTGAATAGCTCTACAATCCACACGGTAAAGC